TCCAGCAGAAGAAGATAACGTGCCACCTTCCCCATAAACATGTACTCAATCGTACAGGAATAATGACGTAGCACGGGATTCAACCAGCAAAAACCAAAAAGGAAAGATCTGCGCGCACGTCCGTGCCATTTGAAAAGAGATAAAAAGCATGGTTTTGTTTAGTCGTAGAGTCCAATTTTAAGCATAAATTCGCTCTTTCTGTGGATCTGAATATCGCAATACTCGCAGTGCTGCTTCGAATTTTGGTATTATTAGGACTAGCCGGAATCAGCTAAGTTATTATATCGTCAACTTCAAACATAGTAAACTTCTGGGGACTACATTTTTTGTTCACTGATATCAGAGGCTATACAAATTAAACAGATTTCCTCATAGCGATTGATTTATTAATAATATAGGTATAGCCAAAATTATTAAGTGCACGATGAAAATTTCAACATGATTATTTGCATTTAAAAAAATATTCTTTTCATTTGTTTGCTTCGTATTTTCATTAGTATAATGTTCTCTGGATCTTTTCTCTAAGTTCGTGCTCTCTCCAAAATTGATTCTATGTTGTTCCTCTGTGTCAAGATCTGAATGACAGTCTGGCACATTAAATGCCTCTTGCACTGTTGGAGATAATTTCCATCCTCTGGAAAGGCCTTTTACTCGCAAATAAAATACAGATTCTTTCGGTACGCGGGATGGCGGCAAGCGGCTAATGAAACTGATAGCTTTTTGCGAGCACAGCGGATTCGCAATGTGGCAGTCGCGTGCTTTCCTATCGCTACGTAGAATAAACGCGCTTTGACCCGCGCAATATCACGTAACACCAAGATTGATCTGTAAGTCAACATCGGCGCGTCGCCGCTAACGACAGGAAGGAACTTCGTTTCCGGCAGTAAACTGAAGTCGCATAAGGCTTATCAGCATGTGTGCTCAATTCCCGGTCGCCACTTTACCCAAGGAATCACTATTTTTTATTATGGTCCTTTGAACCGACATATTTTCAAGCTGATTGTGTTGGAATTTGTGGCAATGAGACAGATACTATTTTCCATGAGGAGAATTGATTTCCAGACGTTTGTTATTGTCCTACTTCCAACTATACGCGAGGTTCAGTTCACTATTTACTATGTCTTATTATACTTAATTTGTATGTAAGTGCAAGGCACGCAGTGACTTAAATTCACTATAGAACGAGTAATCCTCTCTATAATCGAGTTACTATAAACGGATGTGACTATATTTTGCTTCAAATGAGATGGAAGGATGCATGGATCTAGGCCAGTTAGTTTTGGCTTCGTGGCTAGCTCTTGTGTAGCGTGTCGCTTCCACTACGTGGTCCCGGATTTCCATTCCCGGTGATCCAAGATATAGTGGGTCTGTTTTCCTTGCGCTTAACGGCTTCATTTTTCGTTCCTTCCCGGCTACGTCCATACAGTGTTGCTGTGTGACGATGAGTAAAATACGTTCTCAGGTTAGGAGACCGGAATACGGCGTGGGGATGTCTTCGTGCTTAAATAACACGAAATCTTCAGCACCATGTTTGCGAGGCCGGGAGCTGCTAAGTAGGCTGTATGTCTACATGGCTAACCACCGCCCCTTAACCCATGGATGCGAGGCAGGGCGTCGCGGGTAGGGCCTGTGCCGCTTCAAACGGGCTTCGCCGCCAAGTACGTACATCAGATACACTACATGCTGCCAGTAAGATTTAAGAACTGCTTGGGATCCGCCTAGTATTCATCGGAGAAATCTCGAAATAATAGAGAAATGGAAAGAGCCCCATGTGTCTCATGCAGGCTTGGATCGATCTCGACACTTCTCTTCAGCTATTTGTGAGATTCAATATCCCGTACTCCCCACAAAGCTTCTGTTGCTGAACGAATGAAGGAATACAGTATTGCTGTACGATGGTGAATCTTCCTTGACTTTTTAAAAGTTCGATCTAAACATTTTTTGAGACATATTAGTTTTTTTCCATGTTTTCAAAAATATTTCCAATTTGTATTTCGTATCGATGCATTCTTGATCAACAGATAAATGATGTAATGAATTATTTTGGTTAAATAACATTCATTTCAATTTAATTGTAAATGCAAAGAACCGTGAGGAAGATGATTAGGCAGCGAATATATTTTCCAAAAATATAGTATTTTCCAATAATGTTTCTTTCTTGTCTGGGTAGCCCTCAAGACAGATCTGGTTCTGGTTTGAAGTCTGTACTCAACTTTTTAATCTCCAGTGAATTCCGATAGAAAAAGTGAATTTTGGGGAACTATATTTTCCTCCCGCGCTCCTGTTTTCATAGCAATCCAAATATTTGACGTTTCACTTAGTGCCTCGATTAAGCTTGTTACTTGCTTGGCTAATAGGAAATGGACGGGTGTATTAATTAAGATACGAATTGATTGCAATAGAAAAGATTTTTGAAATCCAGTTTAATCTGGGAAATAACTTATATTATTCCACTTTAACACGGCGAAAATTTGCCAATCCTCTTTGTAAACAAATATTGGAAACAATGAAGGATGAGACCATAAAGTCAATCTTCAATACATAACATTAAAATAACAACTCTAAGCAGAAAAGCTACAGTAGCACAATGATTCGGACAAATGAAGGAATAAGATATGGAAAAAGTTGTATGTTCTACTGGCCGGTAGATCTGTTCTAAGAAAGAAATATATCTACGAAAAATTAACGAAGCCTAAGAACTAAAGTACTTTCCAATGTGCAAATTGGTGATATACTAATCGCGACATCAGGGTGTTATCATTTAGTGTTTTTGTACGTTTAATTCAGCAGCAAAATAATGATCAAGATCATCTTCCTCACGTCTTAAATTGTTACATCTTGCACACATTCCTTGGAATAGCTGTACGTGCTCCCTGTAGAAATAAATAATTCCAGACAATTTTTTACCGCAATATTCTATCAAGATGCATGGCATAAACCTGGCAAGTCAATAGCAGTTCACAATGCAGTATTATAGGGCACTGCTGCCATGGCTTTGGAACGTCGCTAATAGACATCTGTACGGAGTTAACGGAGCACCCGAAGTAGCAAGGTTACACAAAGGGGAAAGAGGAAATGCATTTGCATATCATACATTTGGTTCCTAGTATTGAATTAAAACGCTGTGCATAAACGAAAAGTGGGGTCTATAAGTGTCTATTTTGATCTGTATTTTGTAGAAATATGAATATCATAAGTATGGTTTAATATAATTTAAATTAATTGTTTGGAAATATAAATGATATTAAAGGAGTGGGTTCTCTAGATAAATAAAAGCAAATGAGTAGAGCATTCACATCTCACATTACATAATTTTTGTTAATAATACCGTATATTATTTTGCATTAAATACAAAGAACGAACTAAGGAATTATCGAAAAGTCATTCTTGACAGTCGGAATTCGTTAAGGATTTAACAGTCCGCAATCAATTAAGATGGAGTTACCCTATTCGTAAACTATAGTGTCAAAAGCACATTCTTTCTCACATTATTTTTAACTTTTGAGATTTTTTAAAATTGCAGATAGTTCATGAAAATGAGAACTGCATCCATTTTTCAGCGCATCTCCACCTATCCGAAAAAAAAAATAATGAAAGAAAAAATGTGTGAATATCTTTTTTTTTACATTGCTTTTACGCAACAAAATTTCGAAAACTATTCATATTTTGAACAATAGTAAACGTCTTCATTTAAAGATCTAAATTTGAAAAACATATTTCACTTAAAAAATTCTACTTTCAATATTGTTCACGAAAACCGGAAAAAATTTTGATTTTTACCATTTTCGAAAATTTAGAAAGTTAACACAGAATCGTAAGAGAACATGCTGCTTCATTCAACTGTTTTAATTTTTCCTTCGTAACCAGGGTCCTCTCGATCCAGGCAAGTTATGCAGTGTACATCGAGCTCCGTATGGAGGAATACAAGGCAATTTAGAAATTGCAGGCAAACGTTTTAAAGTGTTAAAACTTTCTAAACTGCAAAGAGCTCAGTATAAATGCGTCTGCATCATTTATACTAATTTACTTTCAGAACAGAAAAAATTGGAACTATATCTGATTTTTAAAAAAAATTCTTTATTTTAAACTGATGTTGTTTAAAGACAGACAGGCAGATGAGTAGATAGATGTGTCGAGAAACTAAAATGCTTTAATCCGTACTCAAGGAAAACGAAAACCTGTCTGTTTGTTCATATCTAGACAATGATGTTTTGGCAGAATTACATTACAACTCTGCATACGTATTGAATAATATGCAATCAGTACAATAAATGTACCCATTAATTATTTTCGTCATTGAAAATATATTTTATAAAGTGTCAATAAGAGTATTTATGGATCCGCTTGATTGGCCTTCTAGTGATTTGTTGACCCTAGTCCCATTCATTTGCTTTTGTGAATGACACGCCCGTGGGGCCGCATTGCGTTCTGCGTTAAGCAGGAGGTCGCGGGTGGGGTGGGGTGGGGCGCTGCCACAGTGCGTGCGCGAGCGAGGGCGCGGCGGCGGCGCTGGTGCTGACGGCGGCCGACAGAGGGCGCGCGGTCGCGCGCGGGGCGCTCGGCCTTAACCCTGGTTGGACGGGGCGGCGGCGCAACACTTCCAGTTTGCCTCCTCCTTGGCCGGCGCGCTCTCCTCCCCACCTCCAACCCCGCCGCCGCCGCCGCCCGCCACGCGCCCCCGCCGCCGCACGCTCGCGGTGAGGAAAGCGCCTACCGCACACGCCGCCGCCGCCGCCGCCCGCCGCGTCGCGCTCCGCAGGGTCCCGCGGCGAGCTGCCTGTTCATTTCTCCGCCGCCAGCTTCAGTCTGTGGCCGGGTTCGTGCGGTAGGACGCGCGAGTCTCGACTTCAGGACAGGCTCCTACTCGCAGCAGCCGGCTACACCACCAACAGCTCCCTGCTCCCCCGCGCGTCTGTGGCGCGCCCCGCGGCGCCCGCCCACGCCCTCTCCCTCTGAGTGCCTCCCTTGTCGACGGTGCACGCTGCTGCCTTTGCGGTCGTTCATGCGCGCTGACAGCCCCAGGCTTCTTGCTTCGTCAAGATCGCGTGCTCAGTGGATATTATCTTCGGCGTGCTGGCGCCCTGGCGATTCTCATCGGTGAGTACCTCGTGCCGCGCTCTCCACGGCGCGTCAAGGGTGCTCCTCCACTCGACGCCGCTCCTCGACTCCATTAAGAGGCGGTCCTCCACGGGGCGTGGAAGCCCCTCGTCGAAGGGTCCACCGCCGCTCGCTTTCGTGGCCGGCAAGTCGACTGGGCGGTCGGGGGCCGCGGCGATTTGGGCCATCACCGGTTTTTCCACGCGCAGCGCGCGGAGCCCCGCCGAGTTGCCGCCGCGCCGGCGCTGCGAGAGTTGTTCGATAAAAGTGACATTTGGGCGGCTGCGCTGCCGGTCGGGGCCGCGCGCGTTAGTAGGTTAGGGAGGTGCAATCCGCGCCCGCCGGGTTCGATATCGGCGCCGCTCGCGCCTCAAGCCGTGCTCGCGCGCGCCGCGATGACGCCAAGTCGTGAGGGGCGGGGCTGCGTCAGCTGACTGACTGGCGGAGGAGGAGGGTTGACGGTGACGTTTGATGTGTATGAGAGGCGGCGTCTCGTCGCGTCTCGTCGCGTCCGTCCGCCGAGCGACGGTGAATTGTCGCGCCTGACAAGGCTTTCACTGGCGAGATGACGGGCGAGGGCGGGACGCTGTTCGGCGCCGGGGAGGACGGTGAACATTGGGGCGAATCGGGGAGAGTGAGCCGGCCCATTCAGAGTGGATTGCCAGTGCTCGTCCGGATGCATTGTCGTGCTCGCGCTAATCTCGTATGCTCGCTATTCTCCGTATGAGGTTGAAGCTAAGAACGAAAGCTGATGATTGACTGTTGTTAGCGCGGCTATTGTCAAAGACAATGTTGGCTTATTAGATGCACTCGGGCTGTAATAGACTTCTAAGGCGGTGACATTTAGTGGTTCATTCGCTTCGGTGATATTGTCTCATGTGTTTCGTAAGTGTATGATAAAAGGTAGGAGATAATCTTTCAAAATGGATATTAATTTGGCGATGTTGTGGAGAGAAATTGCAAGTGAAAACATACTGCGTGCTTGATTCTGAATGAAGTTCGGGTACTCCACAGGAAGTAAAAAGCAAACAATCTTCGCTCATACTTTATGCATAATCATCAAATAAAATTCATCTTCTAAGAGTAAAATTAATGTTTTTGGCAATTGTTAATATTTTGACAAAATTTAAACAACGGATTTATTTATATTCATTTGGAATTAATTATAATTTTCACGAAAACTTTGCTTTCAATCATTGAATTATTTAATATTTTACTCGTTGTTAGTCAGAATTAATAATAATAATATTAAAAAGTTATTATTTTTTCAAGTTTCTTGACAGAATTTTCTAATTTTTAACTTCACTCTCCAGGTATGCTCCGCTATCTTTTATTTCTTTTAGAAACCAAACTTCTTATCCATTAAATAGTTATTTTAGACATTTTTATTGCTACACTAACTTATTAATTGCAAATCCATTTCAATATTTTAAATTATCTTGTATTTATGGGTATTTATTTTAAAGCATGTCTGTATCAGTTAATTTTTCCTACAATCAATTCTGTTTACGTATTTCTTACGAAAAATAATTGATAGACTTTAACACATCCGTTCAAAATTTATTTTATCATAAAATGAAAATATTCCATAAATCATCCAATATTTTGAAAATAATCTGCCTTACATTTGCTGTCTCAGAGATAGTGACACTTTTGCAATTAGGTATTAAATCTGCAATCCTTTCCAATTTTTTTTTGCATTGCGTTAATATAAATCCGCAACCCTCCAAAAAGCATCTTTTGGTTCTTATCCGCCCATCTCCCTGGCCGAGAACGCGTTGCAGGGGCTCCGCGCGTTTCGGGCAGTGCACCGCGCCACCGACCCACGCCCACCCCCGCACACGCGAAAGGAAGGCGCTCCGCGGGCGGATAAGCGACATCTCCACCACCGCCCCTCGCCAGTGTTGCGATTCGGGGGGGCGGCCGCTTCATTGTGTGCTAATGGCCAGCCGGCGCTGGGGCGGCGGGGCGGCGCGCGATGGCGGTGGCGGTGCGGTGGTGTTGCCGCGCCGTCGGCGGATCCCGCGGGCGGTTGCGAGAACGCGAGAAAGTTACGGGCCGCGCCGCCGAGGGGCGTCCAAAGCGGCGGCGGACGCCCGTGCTACATATGAAGCAAAGCAGCCCATGTCGCGGTGGGCCGTCGGTCTCTCGGCGCGAATTCGATCTCGTCAGGACCCACCCGCTGTTACGCGACTAACTACTTTATCCATTACTTCTCCGCCTACACATTCCCATCAACGTAGCGTGCATTGTCATTCACGCATCTCAAACAGAGTTAAAGACCGTTGATGTTCCATCGTCTCTCCTCGACATATATCGCACAGTCTCGCGACTAAGTGCCGAAAACTCATCGCTCAAAGTACGACTCTATTTTTTCTTATTAGATATCCGTATCACCATTCTCTGTCTTATCAATATTATTGATATATTATTATCGATGGATTGGCGCATCTCATATTTATTGTCCAGAATTCTAGATCGAGAAAACCAAGCTTGGAAGTTTGTGCTGGTGCAGTTATTTCTTGAGCGGTTAATGCTTTTTTTTCTGAAGAGAAAAAAACACACTAAGGACATACAATATTGACATCGTAGGTAACACAAACGAAAATCTACAAAAATGATGTAAACACACAAATAAGCATGAGTGGACATAAAATATTTGTGTATTAAGCCACCAATTTATATCACTGCACGTGAACTAAAATTGGCGCTCGAAGGGAGCCCCGAGATACGACCGTTAAAGAGGATTCAGACACATAGAGGCAAATGAGCAGATGTCAGACAAAACGAATGTTAAGTGGAGTTGGTGGTGGTGGGAGCAATGCTCGGTACGTGTACCTCGCTCGTAGCTTGGTCACCGCTTGTGACAAAATTATAGTCCCACATTTGATAAAGAAATGAACAATAATAAATAGAAATATAGTGGATGAAGTGTTGTCTTGGACATGCGGGCAAAAGTGATAACCACTATTGCTAGTAGCCAAAGTATTTTTTTGAAATGCTTAGTTTCAATCCTCACATTATCGGGAGAAAATGTCAGGGTTGGCATGGATACGGACAGAAGACATTGAACAAACATATGATATGAATATAGAGGATATTGGTATACGACGGTGGATGAATTATTGGCTGGTCTAGCAGGGACCAAATATATTTATGTAAGTTAATTGATCGCGTGTGTGATGTTGTTATTTGCTCGGTGACAGTTAGCTCAGTGACAGCCTAATATACATTGACAATTTTAATTCGGTGAAGGATTTTATTGTGGTTTTAAAGGGCAAAAGTAATGTTTACCGTATGCCGTAAATTGTATTAAGTTAATTCTCAATCCGGTCTCTCAGACCAGTTACGTCCATGATACAAAACTAACGGTGAACGAATGTTTGCTATATCTGTTCAGGACAAACAGTCAGTAGAAATATATAGGTATCATTATGAGATAAGTTTTGGTGAACCATAAGGAGTGATGAACAAAGCATGACGAGTGTCATGTGTATTTAATTTAGGAGGAAAGACTCAAGAACGTCTAATAAAATAAATTTCTCAAAGTTACTTTTTGTTGCAAAGTTAGGAGTATAATTCGCCCCCTTGTGACGGTTTTAAAATTCCGTCTCTGTAAGTAAGCACGATGCGATCATGTGGACTCTGCATGCTGATGGCTACACTGTTCGAGCATGCGCACTAACACCCTTTATGCGACATGGGGTCTCCTCGGGAAGCGTTGCTCGGTCGGTGCAAGCGACGGTACCTGGGCAGGCTTGGGTGCGAAAGTGACAGTGATAAGTCGTTGCAGGAAGTGAAGTGTGATTATTGCTCGCAGCATGATTTACAGACGCTCATTCTGTGACATGTCGGTTACATCGTTTGTGTAACTCTAAAACAAGTGTATCGCTACTGGGTCGGTGATTGTGCTCGCTGACACTCGATGTAAAAGCTTTGTGCTTGTTTGTCTGTTTCATTTACAAGACATTGCTTTGAAACTATAATTTAACGTCAGAGCATTTGGAATCATTCTAAGTTTAAATAATAGGTGGCGTTCAGTGAGACGAACTAAGAAGGACGAACTGAAAAGGGTAGGGGCATTCGAAAGTGGTCGTGTCATGTAGAGCAGAAAGACGAATTCAATAAACAACAAAAGTGTTTTATATTGATAAATTATGATATACATGGTATCCATAAAGGACGCTATTAACATTAAATATTTTGGTGGTTGTGATGAAATCACGTCAAGCATGCACTAACCGACGTTCACATACTGATGTGTCGATGTCAAATGACTAGAAGAGAGGGTTTTTCCCCGGTGCTCCGGTGGCCTGCGTAATTCTTAGGGGGAGACCTTTGGAGCGAGGCACTGTCGAGCGGAGGCAGGCTCGTAAAGTGTAAACAGAGGCGGAAGGGGGGGGCGTGGCGTGGCGTGGCGGGGCGGGGCGATACGGGGCAGGGACGGAGGCGGGGGCGAAGCGGGGCGGGGCAAGGCGGGGGAGGGCGGGTAGGGCGGCGATTGAGGAGCGCGGTGGCGTGCTCTGCTTTCTTTTCAGCGCCGCCGCCGCAGCGTCTTCCGGAGTTCGGCTCCTTTGGCGAAATCGCGGGTCTCGATGCCCCGCAAGGGCTACTATTTATTTTGTTTTTTTTTTCTTGTGCTCTGCGTACGAGGTAATTTTTTATTCGCGTTTGCGAATGGTAGGGTGCGACATCGCTAACGATACACGATGTTTCTTAACTCGCTTTGAAGATGAGTAGTTTAATAGATGAGTTTTAAGAAACCAATC